TCCCAAGCATGATGTCCTTCTCCAAAGACCGGTCTCTCCTTACAACATGACCAAAGTATGTCAGACGAAGCCTCAGAATCCTTGCCTCCAAGGAGCAGCCCGATTTAACCCTCTCCAGGATGAATCTGTAGTCCATGGTATATTCAATACTCTTCCCCAGCACCACAGCTCAAAGGCATCAGTTCTCCTACTATTATCCCTAGTCATTGTCCAGCTTTCTGACGCACAGCAAATAATTGCAAGGACTATGGCCTGAATCAGGCCATATGGTAATTAGAAGCAAATTATAAACAGGCAACATAAATAACCCAAACCAGTATTTGTTTTATACAAGCAACATTTAAATTCTTCAGTTATATTAATCAAGTATCATCTATAACCTATTTCACATTCTGGTATTTTTTTCAGATTCTAGCCTGGACACATTTTAAAAAGATAAAAGTTCTAGACCCCTTGCTTAGAATCCCAGTGTTTTAAGACCTTGTGCATATCTGTGGTCACTAATCTGTTTTCATTGTTATATGGTCATTTGCCTGCAAGGTGTACATTCCTTTTTGAATTTTTTTTTAAGCACATTCCTTCTGTAAGTGAAAAAGAGCAAACAAGGTGCAGAACTCAAAACAGCATGGGGAAAAAAATAAAAAGATTAAAGTTCTTTATCATACATCTCAATAAACTTTATATCGCCTTCATAAACCTCAAGGGAGAAAAAACAAGATTGTATCAGTCTGTGTTCAAAATGTAAATATGTAAATACATTCTCGAGGTCTACACACATTCTCTGAAAAACTTCAAATTTTAATGTTTCCATTTCAATAATAGCCCGAAAATATTATTATGGACATTTATAACTAAAAATTGTCCCAGAATGTCGATACATCTGTTTTTCATTTTTTTATTATTATTATTTGTGTGTGTGTACCGTCAAATCAGATCTGACTGGTACAGAAGGAGATTGTTCCTCCTTTTCCAGCAGAGCATCTGGTGGATTCAAACCACTTACCTCTGGGATTACAGTGCATCTTCATGCCACTAGGCCACCCAGAGCTTGCCGATACATCTGTTTTTAAGGAAAGAATCCCAAGTAGTACCGTCAGAGACTTTAAATTGTAAATTAATTCATGCCCAGGTAAGGGCCAAGTGATGCCATTCTCTCCAAATAGAAAAGGTTTTGTATTAGTTCAAATTAAGACAAAATGTGAGAATGATGAGTCATCACGTGAATACAGTATGAATATATGTATATTAAATTCAAAGGAAGTTGATCTGTAAGTTAATACCCCATTTATATTATAGGCAGTAATTAATTTAGCAAAGTATCATCTATAATATTAAAATAGCATCATTAATCTGTCTTGTTCATAAATGCCCAATCTAATTTTATGGTTATATAAATTTTATTTAATGCTAAAAATTATTAGCTAATTTATAATTTTCTAAATTTCTGTGAGATTATAATAGAATTTAATTCAGTAATGAAGTTTCATAGAATATTATCTGCCTGAAAAGAGGTCAACATGTTAAACAAGTCTGACATTTTTAAGAATACATTCAAGCATGCTTACATATAAACATACATAGATATATTGATACACACTCTCTCTCTCTCTCTCTCTCTCTATATCTATACAAACAGATTAAATAATTAATGAGGGGTTTTTTCCACTTATAAGGACTTCATAAGCTTTATAGCAGAGAGGAAAAAATCTAGAAGCAATTTAATTATTAACATTACAAGGGCAGTCAAACTATGGGACCATTATAAATAGGAAATTATGCATTCATATGCTGAATAAGAATAATCTATTCATCTATTTATCCATCCCCTAAAGCATTGCATTGGTTATCCTTTGGTAAAGGAACCTTAGTGGTGCAATAGTAAAGAGCTTGGCTGCTAACACAAAAGTCAGCTGTTCAAATCCATCTGCTAGTATCATAGGAGGAAAGTCCTGGAAATCTGCTTCTGTAATGATGTGTTGCTGTTGGCTGTTAAAACGATTATGGCTCATCATGAGCCTTATAGGAGAAAGTAGAACTGCTCAAAGTTTCCCAGGATGCAACCTTAATGAGAGTACATCTTTCTCCCCAAAAGTGCTGGTGGGTTCAAACATCTGACCATTCAGATAGTATCTAAGAGCTGAGTCATTGCACCACCAGGGCCTAGGAAACTCTATAAGGCAGTTCTGTTCTGTCCTACAGGGTCATTATGACTTCAAATCAACCCAACAGCACACAATAATGGCATCCTTTGGTGAGGAGATAATTGGTAATTTCTATTTTCCCCCTTTAATTTTTCATCAATCTCTTTTGATGGTCCAGCCTTCTTTTCCTACTACTAAAATCTAGCAATGTTCAAAGTCTTGTCCTTAGCATTCTCTCTTCTGTTTCAATTACAACTTCTATGCATCTGGTTTCCAAATCTGTAACTCTAATGTACACAGCTCTTGTGAGTTTTAGACTCTGATCTCTTAAAGTCTGCTGTACATCTCTTTTCAAACCAAATAGCTCTTCAAACTTAAAATAATAAAAGCAAACTCATAAGGCTTGATACTTTGAAAAATATAATGAACCAGACAATATGCTGTTTAAAAACACTTAGTTCTATATGAATCTCCCTATTAAAAAATACAATATAAAGGTATAAGTGTTTCTGATTTTCCATTTAAGGTACTAAGCTAGAAAAATGCTAGCATTTCCCACAGGAAACATTTTCCAAGTCTTCTAAAACTAATGTTTGCTTATCGCAATATGTTCTGTATTTGTTGTTAGGTGCCGTTTCAGACACTACAACTCACAACCACCTGATGAACAACAGATCTGAACTTAGTCCTTCCTGCACCATGTTACATTAGAGAATATTATGTGCTGCATATATCTCTAAACAGAGAAGAAATGCAAAAGACAGTTTTAGGGCATATGAAGTACCTGTAGAGGTCTCTGCTAAAAACAAAAAGCAGAGGTTCTTTCCTACTCAGTAAAATACTTCAGAGAAGCTGAAATTCACTAACCTACAATTACTATTTCAAAGCAAATAACTTTTTTACTAGTTCTCACACTGTATGTAGGATTAAGTCACACCAGGAATATGAATATAATAGTACATATACACTTAATTTTTCCATTCAATCAAGTCATCTCTATAAAATATTTATAAATTCCCTTATTCTTCTATACCAAGGAAAATGTGAATTTTAATGTATTATTAAACAACTATGACAAGATTTAATCCACAATAATCTTAATACTCAATCTCATAAACACAAGGTCACAGAGTTTGGTAAGAGGAAGAAGGGAGTGAAGGAACTAGGGAAGATCCAGTGGGATCTCAAAAGATAGTGTAATAGTGGGTATATATAAATGATAATTAATGTTATAAGACAAAAATGTATGAAAATTATAATAAGACACAATGTGGATGAAGGAATGTGTGAAATAAAATATATATGAATGTAAGAGATCTTTTAATGCTAAAAAAGTCACAATAGAATAAAACACTTTTACTGTAAACTTAAAAATATTCTGAGAAGTTTTCCTTAAACAGGTTGAATCACATTCCTAAACAACAGAAGTCATACAAGAAGATTAATTAAAATCCATTGCTTTAAAATAAAAAATTTTAACAAGAAATGCTTTAAATTTTTCTTAGGACCAGACAAATATTCTGAAAATCATATTCATGAACACACATTGATTTTGGGGTTGGGGGGGACCATTAAAGTTATCTAGATTTAAATTCACTCTTCAGATCTTAAAAAGTTTCATTCAAATGTGCATTTATATCTTCAAGCTTACACACCACAAACTCTTGCAATACACCCTGATCTTCAGACTTTGTACTACTGAAAATCTTGCTAGCAGAATCCTTCCAGATTTTCTTACTGGCACTCCAAACCCAAAACCACTGTTATCAAGTTGACTCTGACTCATTGTGATTCTATAGAACAGAATAGAATTGTTCTACAGGATTTCTAAGGAGCCCTTAGGAACACAATATGTTACCAACTGAAAGGTTAGTAGTTCAAATCCACTGGCCACTCTGCAGGAGAAATAAGAAGCAGTCTGCTTTCACTCAGATTTATAGAATCAGAAACCTGACAGAGGATACTGTGAGTCTGAACTGACTCTATAGTAATGAGTTTGCTTTCTCTGGAATCTTTCTGGAAGCGGACTGCCACATCTTTCTCCCTCAGAGCAACTGATAGGTTCAAACTATAGAACTTTTCATTAACATCTAGATGTTTTAACCATCATGTCACTAGGGAACTTTGACTATCACTCCAAATATCCTTTTATAGTCAACCAGTGGCCAGTCAAAGCAAACCAAACCTTGTTGTTGTTGTCATACAAAATAACACTGAACACAATATCAAAACCTGAACTATTTTCAAAACTATACAAAATGACACAGAATACCAGATCCAAACCAAAATAACAAAACCAATGATCACTGCCATAAAAGAACAGACCTAGGCAATTTCAAGGAATTTTAGCGCTTAATATTTCTCTCAGTATAACAAATATCATTTAAAACATGCATACAGAGTAAAAATAATGAAGGAGGGGAAGGAATGGCCATACAAACTTTCTAAACAAGCTTTAAATCTTCTTCAGGGTCAAACTCTTTAAAAAATTAACTAAAAAGATGGTGATAATTGCTATAGCAAGTAAAGGTCCTTGAGGGACATAGATGGTCTCTAGTGAGCTGTGATAAGATGAACAGAAAAGCCTTGCCAGTTTGAACCTATACAGTTCTATCATGGGAGAACGAAGGCTTGGCGACCTGTGGCTGTAGAGCTCACAGCCAAGCCCACTCTATACTCAATAAGCTCTGCCCAAATGAGTGCACAAATACAAAACAACTGCTATAGCAATTGGACTGTACCACTTTTAAAAAGTCATCTCTTTTACGTTTTCCTGTACTTGTTATTCTAAGTCAGTAAATGCAATATAAAAGAAAGAAAAAGGGTGGGGGGAATGGGAAAAAGGGGGGAAAAACTTACTGGAATTGAAAACTCCTCAGCCAAGTACTTCAATAAAGCTGCTTCTCTTGCCAAGAACTTATTTCTTTCTACAAGGTTGCCTTGAAGTTGTGTATCAAACTCTTTTCTGACCACAGAAGCGACAGAGTCGATAATCACCAATTTAACTCCATTTGAAATAATTTCTTCTTCCAAAGACTCAAGCCTGTAAGGGCAGAATTTTTTAAATAGTCGCTAAATTTAAGATATAATAATGAAAACCTTACGGATCTAAACAGTCTAATCTACAACCCATCATTGTGATGGCATGGACCAGGCAGCATTTCTTTCCATTGAACGTGGACCTTTGTCATAAATAGGGGCTGGGGGGCGGGGGGAAAGAGTAGTATTGCAAAGATTAATTAGAGAAAAATAAAACAAGGGCATTAATCTGCTTTTCCTAAATTAAAACAATGATTGAAAGAACGCAATAAACAACATTTTGTTGTTGTTATTGTTATGTACTGTCGAGTCAGAACCAACCCACAGTTGACTCTTCAGTGGGTTTACAGTAAATGGAACAGGAGGAGATTGGCTCTCTTTCTCCTAAGGAACAGCTGGTGGATTTTAATCATATGCCTTTTGGTTGGCAGTGCAGCTCCTTATCGCCAGGCCATCAGAGGTCACTGAAACATAACATATACATATTGTATTCTATACATTTTGCAATGTGTACAGTCCTACACATACTGTCTTCATTTGGAAACGAGAAAATGTTTCCATGTAGTTTCACCTCTTGGCTATCATAAAATATTGTGAAAACTCAAATTCTGGAGTAAGCTGATATATGAGAAACGGAGTTAAAGAACTTCAGAGAGAATTTGTGAAGTGTGGAGGGGTAGGAGCAGAATTAGAAAGGACGGAATTGCTTGATGAAGTTAGCTGAACAAAATCAATTGTTGTGGACAATGATGACAATAACCACGAAGCTAAGAACAATGGCTCTGAAACCTGCCCGATCCTGTGGCGTCCTCACCATCTCCGAGTGCACTGCCAGGCATCTCACCGAGAGTCCTCGCTCATGCTGACTAAGCATGACGTCCTTCTTCAAGGACTGGTCCCTCCTTACTGGATACCCAAACTATATGAGACAGAGTTTCTACTTAGTCACTGTTCAACTTTCCGATGCACAGCAAGTAATTGAAAAAATCATGGCTTCTGATTCCCAAAATATGAAATATCATAATTCAAAATATGTAAGGACTTACTTTCCTCTAAATATGTAAGTATTAAAAAGGTAAAAAGAAAAAAATCTCTTTGAAACATTATTTAAAGGCCAAAATTTAACCAAGCTTACCTCTGCAACACTTCATCACAGGTGAGTTCTTGGTAAAGATGAACTTTACTGCTCATCAAAAGTAGTTTTTCTTCATTGTTAAAATAGCTGGGGTAACGGGATTCTGCTACCTCAATCAGTCTGTAGGGAAATGAATGCCACAGGTGACAACTGTTAATGGTACTCAAGCCCACACTACTGAACCTGAAATAAACTTTACCCGGGAAATTCTAAAGCCACAAGTAACTCTGGAACAAGAGCCTTATCAATGGAGCAGCTTTAAGAAAAATAGTTAAATAAACAAGTTTAAAATGTAAGCCCTCGTCTCAACTTACTGCCGAGGTCAGCAGAACATGTCATCAGCCCAGACATTTAAATCTCATCTGATCTTGAGCAAGAAACAATGTCTCTTGGGTTTATCTTTCTGGAAATAACATGTTTTTAATTAGTCATATTTTTACTAACAGCTTTACGTTTAATAAATAAGAGATGCTTTCATTTTCTTGAATGAAAGTATTTGAAAAAAATATCGTATACTATCATGACAAGGAGGGACAGGTCCTTGGAGAGGGACATCATGCTTGGTAGGGTGGAGGGATAGCGCAGAAGGGGAAGGCCCCCCTATGAGGTGGATTGATTAAGTGGATGGGGTAATTGGGATGGGAGTGTCAGAGACAGTGCGATTGACACAGGACAGAGCAGAGTTTAGGGATGTTGTACATAGGGTCGCTATGAGTCGCAAGTGACTCAATGGCACAAAACAACAACAACACCATCATGACAATAAGTCTTCATGTCTCAACATAAAGAAAAAATATGCTTTCTCAATTAAAATTTAATTCATACAAACAAACGTTATCTAATAGTTCCTTGATAAATAGTAAATTATAGTCTAACAAAAGAATGCTATTCAATAGTCCCTTGGTAAGCTATGGTGATGTGTGCCCTCAAGTCAGAACTAACTCAGTGGATCCACCAGTGGGTTTTCAGAGGCAGTATATCACACAGAAGGAGACTGCCCATCCTTCTCCCACAAAGCAGCTAGTGAATTTGAACCAAGTGCCTTTGGGATTACAGTACAGCGTCTTACCAGTAGGACACTAGGGCTCTATTTTTAAAAGAAGTATGAAATTCTTTCTATTTAAATGAATGCTAGTTAATAGCTTCTTTGTTGTTGTTGTTGTTGTTGTTGTTGTTAGGTGCCATCGAGTCAAGTACAACTTATAGTGACTCTGTGAACAAAAGATTGGAACCCTGTCCTGTGCTGCACCATCCTCACACTTCCTGACACACAAGAGCCCATTGCAGCAGTCACCGTGTCAATCCACCTGGTTGAGGATCTTCACTGACCCTCCACCCTTCCCAACATCATGTCCTTCTCCAAGGAATAGCCCCTCCTAGAAACATGTCCAAAGTATGTGAGGCAAAGTCTCATCATTCTTGCATCCAAAGAGCACTCTGGCTGTACCCTCTCCAAGACATATCTGTTTGTTTTCTTGGCCGTCATGGAATGTTCAGTGCTCTTTTTCACACCACAGCTGTTGTAGTTATTAGGTACTTTCAACTGAACTTCTTGTAGACAAAAATTATTTTCTAAACACTAAACTCTGAAATAAAAAATAGATCTAATATCACAAGACACAAGAGAAATGCAAACAAATTAAAATCTTTCAGGTTATAAATATTTCTATGTATATTTGTGTGTAACTGTCTTCTATTTAAAATTATATTTTATCAGTTCTAAAACTTAACCTTCCAAAGGAGGCATGTAAGAAGGGATGGTAATGGTGAGAGTCAGCGCCCAGAGCCATCAGGGGCTTTAAGCTCGTTGCCCACTGCTGTGGTGTGGACAGCTGAAACCCAGGCCCCGACAGGCACCTGAGGGGGAAAAAAACCCAGACTCTACTTCATGCTCTGCTGGAGAAGGAGGGGCAGTCTCCTGTACCAGTCAGATCCAATTTGACGGTACA